AGTAGGTCTCAAAAGAGTTAGAAAATCAGCTATTCCTGCTGATTATGAAGTGTACAACACTAAAGAATTTCAAATGGAGGATGATCCCGCCTCGTTTGAAGAAGCCATGAGTAGTGATCAATCATCAAAGTGGCTTGAGGCCATGGAAGATGAAATGAAATCATTAAATGCTAATAAAGTTTGGGACTTGGAAATAATTCCTAAAAGAGTCAAAATAGTAGGCTGTAAATGGATCTACAAGACAAAACTTGACTCTCAAGGGAATATAGAGAGATATAAAGCCCGACTTGTGGCAAAAGGCTTTGTGCAAAGAGAAGGGATTGATTACAATGAGACCTTTTCTTCAGTCTCATGTAAGGATTCTTTCAGAATAATAATAGCATTAGTGGCACATTACGATTGAGAATTATATCAGATGGATGTAAACACGGCATTCCTCAACGGAGACTTGGAGGAAAATGTTTACATGGCACAACCGGAAGGTTTTGTCATGGAAAGAAAAGAACGAATGGGATGTCGCCTAAAGAAATCCATTTATGGATTAGAACAAGCTTCAAGACAGTGGTACTTGAAGTTTGATCAGACAATAAAGAATTTTGGGTTTTAAAGAGAATGTAGAGGACAATTGTGTCTATGCAAAGTTTAAGAATGGAAAGTTTATCTTCCTTGTCCTGTATGTAGATGATATCTTACTTTCTAATAGTGATGTCAGTCTACTACTGGAGACAAAGAAATTTGATATGAAAGATCTTGGCGAAGCCTTGTTCGTTCTAGGGATCGAGATTCACCAAGATAGAAGAAAAAGGGTATAAGGACTGTCACAAAAGGCATACATGGAAAAGATCTTAAAGAAATTCAGTATGAACAAATGTAGTCCATCACCTGCTCCTATAGTCAAGGGCGACAGATATGGGGATTTTAAATACCCCAGGAACCAATATGAGCCCAATCGATAAAGTGAAAGTGGTTCCATATGCTTCAGCTGTCGGAAGCTTACAACATGCTCAAGTATGTACACGCCCTAACTTGGCATTTGTTACCGGGTTTTACTTGGCAGATTCCAGAAGAATTCTGGAATAGAACACTGAAATTGATAAAGAAAGTCTTGCGTTATTTGCAAGGAACGAAAGACCTCATGATGACATATAGAAGATCTGATTCACTCCACATGGTGGGATATTTAGATTCTGATTATGCGAGAGTGAATGCATATCCAGACGTGGATTTTCTATCATCTCGCAAAGGGGAGCTATTTCATGAAAAAGCTCAAAGCAAACTGTCACTACATCGTCCACAATGTATGACGGTTTGTAGCGTGTTATGAGGCAACGGGCAGGTGAACTAACTAACGAATTTCATACCCGGTTTGAAGGTGGTTGACGACATCTATAAACCACTAAAGTAATACTGCGATTATAATCTGGCAGTACAGGATGCTCACAACATAAGTCAAGTGGTGCTGCCAAACACATTGACATGGAGTATTATGTTGTGAAAGATAAAGTCCGGGATCAAGTCATAAATCTTGAGCATATAAGTAAAGAAAGGATGCTCGCGGATCCGCTTACAAAAGGCTTACTACTCAACATGTTCAGAGGACATGGTGTTCAGAGAACATGAAGCTAGCTTGGGTTTAAGGGAAAGCCTAAAATATTCCTGGACAAAAGAAGGCCCAAAGATAAGTATCTATTTCAGAACAGAGTAGTGAGTTGTAGCTGTTAAGTCTATCGGTAATGGACCGTGACGATGAGACATGCTCTATGAGCTAATCTGTAATGGAATGAACAAAAGCAAATGACATGAAAGTGAAAGATGGAATGAGATCAAGGGGGAGAATGTTAGTTGATCTCCACCAATAGGCCCAACGGCCTATTGGGCCCTATCTCTGCTCCCTGATCGGGGGAGCCCAACCCTAATTTGGTTGTTGGGCCCCTGTCGCACAGCACACATAAAAGGAAGGTGGGGGTGAGAGCTCGGATAACGAGGTTGATCGGAGCCGCCACACCCACCTACAGAAACCCTAATACCGATCTAAAGAGCTGCTGCCAGCGATGGGATGTGCCCCAACCACCACCGTCTCCCACTGCAAGACACCGCCGACGTCACTAGACTTCATCTCGCCGGCGCTAGACGTCTTCTACACCGTGACACTGGCTACGGTGCATCTACTGAAGGGCTAGGAGCCTACTCGGATCTACGGGTTACACAGAAAGGTACTCACATCGATCCTAACAGTGGAGCCATACAACCTTGGGAATAGCTGGAGGGTCGCATGTCCAGGCTGAAAGCTTGTACGCCGATAGGTCGGCCTTGGACGCAGACTGCGGGTCGACGGTGTGAAGCCAGCAGATTGGCGCCAGGATTTTTGCAGCCGTGTCCTCGGCCGCGGCGGAATACCTCGAGCTCGATCGCCACCTTGAACTTCATGGACGATGCGTCCGCGTGCGCCACACGAGTCCATGGCCGTAGGGTCAGGAATGTGCCAGCGATTGGCACAGGCGTCGCCCCCAGAATTCGGTCCCTGACCTCGCTTGAATGGCATTCAATGAGGAAGTGCTCGGGGTAGAACGGCTTCACGGTGAAGGATCCCTCAGCTACGCCGCGAATGGTACGCAGTGCGCGTGAAGCGTCCGCGACGGAGGCCTCGGGTGTCGCGTCAGCCAGGAGTGCCGTGATGGCGAGACGCAGGCCGGCTTCGGCTTCGGCTTCGGCTTCGTCGATCGCTGCGCCGCGTTGGATGATGCAGCGCTTTCCCACCGCCGCTCCCGGTGGCCGGGCGGCGGCGGGTCCCGCTACTCGGCGAGTGAGCTCCGGTGTGCCTTGTGGCGGGCTGATGGGCGGGTGGAGCCGCTAGCTTGGGAGCCGGCCGGGCATGCTCGGCTGTCCGGCCTCGCCGAGCATGGACGAAACGGTCCGCAACGCCATTGTCACCGCCACCATTGGGTGGGGAGCGCGCGCTGGCTTGCGCCCGGGCCATGTGCCGGGTGCCGTGGCGATTCCAAAGACCTCGGCGGCGGGCGGCAGGTGGCTATCCGATGTGAATAGGATAGACCGTTGAGGCACCTGTCCCGCATGGCGTCGGGGATCTTCCGGCGGCGAAGATGTTGCGGGCGATTCTCATTCCGGTGGTCGGTGACGCGTCCCTGGTTGTCCGCCTGCCTAGGGAGGATTTCCCTCTAGCCGTCAGCATCAGGTGGAGAGATTCGGCGGTGGCCCCGAGGAGGGATACGCGGGCCGAGGCGGAGGTGTGCAGCCACGCGCTCGCTGGGGTGAACCCGCTGGCCGAGGCATAGGTGCGCCGGCACCCGCTCCCGGTCCCCGTCGCGGCGGTCAAGAAGCTGCGGCGCAGGAACTCGGCTGTGCGCCAGAGCCTGCTCCTCGAGGTACTTCGGGCGCTGAGGCTTCCATCGACGCTTCCCCCTCTTGCGCGGGCGGCGAGATTTCCCCGCCTCCGTGACCTCCGCCGGCTGCTCATCGACGACACATATGTGCGGCTAGGGATTAGACCCTGCCTCCATGCCTGCTTGTGTCGGAGAGCCCCGACGGACGGTGTCGGTGTAGGACCCCTGTGGCGGCGATGCAGATTCGGCCTCGTAGTCGTCGTCAGAGAAATCGGAATCCTAGGACCACCGCATGGCCTTGGAGCGCCCCGGTGTCCCGGAGGGGAAGAAGGGGATGGCGTTGGGACTACTCGGATACTCCTCACTCGCTTCCTCAGCTCCATCCCTCGCCGCACCGGCGCTTTGCTGCCGTCGTCTGCTCCTTCTGTGGAGCCACTACGGCCGACCCGGGCCATGGCGGGCATTGACCTCAACACCGTGGAGGAGGAGGAGGATGAGGCGGAGGCGGAGGCATGCACGCGCAGCCGGCTTTCTCTCGCTGTCTGCGCAACAACGAACCCATCTATCATGTTCACATATATATATATATATATATATATATATATATATATATATATATATATATATATATCCCCAAGCACGATACTGAAATTTCTCTGAAGTCTGAATCTTTGCAATTTCTCTCGGAATCTTTGTCAGGTAGTAGTATTATTGTATAAACGTATGATACCACGACCATGTAGCATGCATGCATCCAGGCACCACACATGCATGCACCCGCAGCAGCTGGAGAGAATCGGTGACAAGTTAAAAACTACAGATCAGAAGCGATAACGACCTGAATCATGCATGTGGCAACAGGGCACAGTAATGTCACTAACCGGCGGCAAGCAGAGGCAGAACGCAACAGACCACTGGCCGTGCGTGCTGGTGTGATCGGTGGCCGTGAGCGTCTTGCAGAACATGTGCGGCGTCCGTGCGAGCGGCTTCATGGCAGCCCCGTCCTCGCCGTTGCGACCCGCGTCCTCGTCCTCCCGAACCCACGCCCGAGTCCGCCTCTCCGCATCGCCGCCGATGTGCTCAAGGTGGCCCTGCGGCAAGTACAAGACGGCGCTGCCCTTGCGTGGCAACGGCGCGACGGGTCCCACGCACATGTGCCACAGCTCCAAGCACACGGCGCCACCGGCCCTGACGGCCACAGGCGGCGCCTCCGCCTCCGTCTCATCCTCCTCCTCCACGGTGTTGAGGTCAATGCCCGTCATGGTCCCGGTCGGCCGCAGCAGCTGACTCCACGGAAGGAGCAGACGACGGCAGCAAAGCGCCGGTGCGGCGAGGGATGGAGCTAAGGAAGAGAGTGAGGAGTATCCGAGTAGGGCAGAAGGGTCACAAGAGGGCCAAAATACATGTATTTTGATTAACAAAGTGAAGAAATACGTCAAATGTCATTAAAATAAGAAGCCAACGTTTCAAGGGTCATTTTAACGAAGTCAACGATTGGAGTCCTATAATTACGAAGCGCATTGTTTGGTGTCCTATAATTGTAATTTTCACGAAGTGGTGCATAGTCCTCAACTTTGAAATGACCTACATTACATACATATATCTCGAAGTAGTTTCCGAATACAATCAATAAACAAACTCTTTACAAAGCAACTACTCCTACATGATGCTTATCTCGGGGGCAATGTGGGGTGCATTACGCATGGATTCACCCATCAGGTCTTCTAAAGTTTTCACCGGTAACTTGTTGGCACCGTGAGACACGCCGATGTGCGTGGTCAGCGCCCAGAGCACGGTGATGAACTCGCCTCCTTGCACCAGCACGTCCTGGTGCCCCTTGACGCGCTCCTCGTCGCTCGACGGCGCCACGAAGACGATGAGCTCCGTCCACACATCCGCCAACACCTTCCATGCATCAGCTACTAGGAAACCAACCAGCAAGCTCCCCAGCTTCCCACCATTTCTGACAACCCCGTTCACCTGATCACTACCTGTAGACGTTGCTGCGTCCATGATCTTCTTCGCTCGTGCGCTCTGGGGGAACAGGTAGTACTCCCAGCACCAGAAGATGCCGCCCAGCTCCGCCTTCATGTCGTCGACGACACGCTCCGTCTTCTCCGGACTGTCCGGCAGAAGCTCCGGGTGGAAGGCCACCAGGTACGCGCAGTACTTGGACAGCCTCACCGCCGTTCTCTGCGCCGCCGCTTCATCTCCCCGCTGCTGACCAGACTTCACCTCCAAGATGCAGGTCGCGATGTGCCATGTGAGGAAGACCTCGGAGACGCTGTCGCTCCGGCACGCCCACGAGAGTATAGTTTTCCAAATGGGCCAGGCCCGCTGGGCCGGCACTGGCACGGCACTGAAAAGCACGGCCCGAGCACGGCCCGGCCCGGTGGCCATCGTGCCCGTGCCAGGCACGGCCCGGTCGTAGGGCCATGCCTGGGCCGCGACTTTGGCCCGCAGTGCCGGCACGGGCACGGCACGGAAATTGGGCCGGCACGATGCGGCCCGGTAATTCTCTACCGTTGGATGACCTCTGATGCATTACAACCGTCGGATGCAGTGTATAAATAGGCAATCCTAACCCTAGCTTCGCCGTCCACTTCCGATCGCTTTCGTCTCCTCTCGCCGCTTTCGCCTCCCCATCCGTTTCGCTTCCGGTCCTCGCCCCTCGCCCTCTTCTTCCCCAGCCACTCCACATCCATGCGGCGCTCCATCTCTCCCCCGTGCGACGTGGACCCTCCCTCTCCCTCTCCACATCCGGCAAGTAAGGCGGTGCCTCTCTCTATCCATCTCCTGGCGCGGATCCGGCGAGGTGGAGTCTGCTGGTGGAGGATCCGGCGAGGAGGAGCTCTCCGATGGCGGATCCGGCGAGGAGGAGCTCTCCGGTGGCGGATCCAGCGAGAAGGAGTCCGTTAGTGGCGGATCCGGCGGGGAGGAGCTCTCCGGTGGCGAGCTCGTGGCAACGGCGCCGCGCTGAGCGGAGGCCGCATGGGGCTCACGGTGGTGCGGCATGACGCGGCTACGGCACGGGGCGTATAGTGGCATGGCGCGCGGCGACAGCGCGCCGAGCTAGGGCCGGCACGGGCACTAGGGGCCGCCGTGCCCAGCGGCACGGCACGGCACGGTTCAACGGCCGTAGTGCCGTGCCTGGGCCACGACCTTGGCACGGCGACACGATACGGCACGGCACGGCAGCGCCGCCGTGCCTCGCCGTGCCGTGCCTCGGTGCGCCAGTGCCGTGCCGTGCCTGGGCGGCCCGTTTGGAAAACTATACACGAGAGCTTGTCGAAGAGAAAGTTGCTCTGCAGAGCGGCCTTGCCATTCGAAAGAGGAGTAAGATACGCAATGCTACCACCAGTGCAATGGCCATGGTCCAAATCCAAGAGGCGTTCTATGATGGAGTGCTTCAGGTTCTTGGGCACCAGCTCTGTTCTGAGAACCAAGGACGGCGTGGAGAAGAACGGCAGTCCGAGTGGCCAGCGATGGTGCAGCACGGAGAACTGCCGGAAGCTGAGGCTGCCATGGTTGAGCATGCTCCTCAGCCAGATGATCCGGTGGAAGGCGTACCGGATCCATGGGCTGTCACGCCAGTGGGGCTTAGCCATGTAGCTGCAGACCAGTGATACCATGAACCAGTTGGAGAGGAGGAAGACGAAGAATTCCCAGATCTCCTCGTAGAAGTAGATGACGAACAGGAGCAGCGTGATGGAGAGGTCCACGATGGAGAAGAAGGCCTCCGGCGAGTTCTTGGCCTTGACGATGAGGCAGATGGCGATCTTGCCGATGCCGGCGCGAAAGGTGTAGTTGTCGTCGCCGATGCTCGTGAACGCGTACACGGCGTCCCCGTTGCCGCAGAGGGTGACGGTCAGGACGCACAGCGCGGCCACCACGGCGAAGGACGAGGAAGTAGTTCACGAAGAGGAAGAAGGGGCTCGCGAGGACGACGGGCACGACGGAGTGGTAGTACTCGCTCAGGAAGACGACCTCGTCGTTCATCACCTGGAACACGTCCTCTGCCGCGGCCGCCGCGGTGCTGGTACCACCGGCGTTGCTGCTGTGGCTTTGCAGCAGGCCTCTAAAGATGAGGCTCCGGCAGTCCTCTGCCTCTTTGTCGGTCACCGCCGGCAGCCGCTCGAACTTCCGGCGCAGCAGCTTGAAGAGAGCGAACGAGAGGCAGAGTCTCTTCAGTCGCTGAACCTCGCTGGGGGAGGTGAAGATCTCGTCGTTCTCGTTGAGCTCCCAGACTTTGCCGACAGTGACGACGCCACTGTCACCGTCAATGGCGGCCATGTTCAGCTCGTAGTCGTCTGCGGTTGGCTGCTGCACCAGCTTGTCTTCTCCCATGACGATGTAGGTGCAGCTCTTCAGTAGCTCCCGTCCATTTTTGACCTGGCCGGGAGCTTGCTCGACGTCGTCGTCATTGCAAGCACCCTGGGCGGCAGCGGCAGCCTGATGCTCATCATCAGCTTCTTTCAGCTTCTTGGCCATGTACGAGTTGATGAGGCGGGCGTTCTTGCCATGGGCGTACGAGTTCTTGCCGATCTCAGTGTAGGCGATCCTCTGCACGACCCTGGTGGCACAGAGGATCCAGAGGATGGCAAACAGCGCCTTCCGGCCGGTGCTCCTGATGTTGAAGAAGACGAGGCTTCCCAGCCAGACGACGCGGCCGGCGCGCTGGATGGAGCCGGAGAAGCCGCGCATGCAGATCTCGTCCACCTTCTTGGGGAGGAGCTCCACCAGGAGCATCCACGCGAGGATCAGCCCGGCCCCCATCGACAGCTCGGCCGCCGCACGGCCGCTCGTCGCCGATGACGAGAAGCTGGCGCCGACGGCGGCGTTCTTGGCCTCGGAGAAGAGGTAGGACATGACGGGAAGCAGGAGGGAGAGCGCCGACGAGAGGAAGAGCCGCACTTTGGGGTCCAGCGTGGCGCTCACATCGGAGATGCCGCTGAAGAGGTTGAGGTTGAAGAAGAGGCCGGCGAGCACGAACATAATGACGGAGGCGGACACCATGCTCGCCTCGTTGCTCTTCTCGGTGTATGACGACGTGAGGTTCTTGATGTACCTGTCGATGGATGGCGGGCACAAGTTCATTGTCTGGTACTCTGGTTACTAATGGCGTCCATTGCTAAGCTTACTGGTAGTGGTAGTTCACAAAAGCTTCAGTTTTTGAGGAATTCTCTCCTGCAGTGTGCTACAAAGCTGGCTTGTTTGGCTGGGCGCTGGAGGTTGCCTATATAGGAGGCCTGCAAGTCTGCAACTGCACATATTGACCAGCGAAGGGAGCAACAATGTCTCGGTCGTCTGTCACTGGCAATGTCACACATTTTCTCCTTTAGAGTGACAATAAATTCACACTTATTAGTTCACAACAAGCTGCGGGAGTCCATCACGCACCACCGTGCCGTGCCGGCGGCAAACACCTTCCGGTGGCACGTTGAGCTCCTTCCCCGGCGGCGGTGATGACCAGCAGGAAGAACACCGAGCTGGAAGAAATCGTCGTGTAGTCGCAGTATCATCACTAGCTGCCTGTGCCTGCCTGGTGCTATTGATGGTAATGGTACGCTGTTTGGTACAGTCAACAGATAGCTTTGTACTATCTCGGCGTAACAGAGAGAGAGAGAGCATGCAGTCTGCCGGGATGTGTGTGTGTGTGTGTGTTTTTTTTTTTTTTTTTTGCTTGGCATGCATGTGGCCAACCTTTAGCTTGCACCGGTGAATAAGTTTAATATATAGAAATGCTATACTCCACTCATGTGTTTTTTTTCCTTGGGATGCTAATTTGTCGGGCCCACTCTAAATGTTACTGTTTGAAATTGGAAGTCGCGCCTATCGTTTTCTTGCTGTCTCATTTCCCCATCGTCCCGGCGAGAGGGGAAAAGGGGTTCATCCCGGCGGTCGGCGATTGTCTCGGCGTCGCGGCGATTCTACCAGCGACCTCACCGCTCCGCGCCCTCCACGTCTCTGCGCGTCGCCTCCCTCTCGTCTGCCACTGCTCGAGCTCTGGAGGTACATGAGTTCGCCGCTTTCTCCCTTGAGTTCGTCATCGCTCTCGTCCTCCTTGTCCACCGATTGTAGATCTGTGTTCCTCTATTTCCTGAGGCCCAGCGATGCTCGTGAGGCGTTGCGGCGGGATGGCAACAGCGTGCGAGGGCGCACTGCAGCGGCGGAACGGTGAGTGGCGCTGCGGCTGTGGGACGGCGAGAGCGCAAGGTGAGCTGCAGCGGCGTGACGGCGAGAGCGCGCAGGGCGAGCTGCTGCGGCACAGGCCGAGGTAGCGGTTTGGCAGCTGCTGCAGGCTTCGACGTCGTGGAGCTTCTAGACTACAAACTTCTTTATGGAGATCTCTTACTAGTTTCACATGCACACGACGCGTCGTCCCTGCCCTGCCTCCTCTGCTCTATGTCATCTCTCTGTTTGGAGATCTCTCTGTTTTTACTTATTTTCAGAATTATTGTGGATGTACTGTGTTGGGGTTTGGTGAACTGTTCCTTCCTGTGGATTGGATGCTAGGAGTGGGTTGGATTAATGTTGGATTGGGGAGGTGAAGTTTATTGCAACCACAGACAGGAAGTCTGATCAGCTGTTGTTGTCTATGCGTTTTGTTTGGCGATGAGTACATTTTTTGCAGTAGGTTGGCGATTCTAGAGAGAGGAGCTTCTCTGACGCTTTTTTGCTGAGAATGGAGACAGGAGCTGCTGGGGGTGCGTGGCGCATCAGCTCTATTAGCAGCAGGCAGATGTTCATCTGCGGTCATGGTTCCTTGCTCGGACGGCATGCACCTGCTATATGGGAATGGAATATATATCAACCACAGTTAATGCGTTTTCCTTAGCACGTTGAGTTATATGGGAATGGAATAGGACTAAAGTGTTTTAGTCCTTAGCAAGGTATATATATCCTGACTGAGTTAAGGGGTTTTGTCGAACCTTTTCTTAGTGTGTCATGCAGATTTGTAATGACCTGAAATGTTCATTAGTAGTTCCAAGTCACACTCCTGTTTTGGTAATATTATTTTTCATGTGTCATGTATTGTATTGTGACTGACTTTGTTAGTCTGAAAATATCTATACCATATCTTTTTGGATTTTGACAGAAAATGGCTGAAACACTACCCTTCATATTAAGACCATGGATAATAATTACGTAGAAACACTATTCTTCATATTAAGACCATGGATAATAATTACCAAGAAACACTACCTTTCATATTAAGGTACTTAGGAAGAGCAAGAACCATGTAATCTGAGGCTGTAGTTCACTGCTCTCTGTCCATTTTTGCTCCTTGCACAAGTATAGTCTCTCTTCTTAAAAAGTCTAGATTATTTCCTATGATCCGATAGGTCCAATTATTTCTTAATCCAATTTGTCCTTATTGTTCAAAGAAATATGTAGAGTGGAATCTGGGCTAACTAAATAGACTTACTATTTCCATTGAATTTGTCATCCTGATTTCCTTTGATTGTTCTCTCTAGAGCTGCCTAAGATTTGTATTGCCAATTCCGTAGGCATGTTGGACGTAAGTGTTTGAGTCTGTTAATAATATCCTGATTTCAATATATTCTGCATCATTGTGTCTTATTAATAATCTGGGAATCCTCAAAAGCAGTTGAATTGTCATCGAAGTTTGAGTCTGTTTATTTTGCCTTCATCATATTAGTAATCATGTAGATCAGTACATGATTCCTTCTCTAGGAAGAAATATTCATCTTTACTGTACAAGTAAGTTAACATAACAGTTGGATATAAATACTGTATTTCTGCATCAAACAAGCAAACTGCATGGTGTGTCAGCTATGTAGCTTTACTATCACGAGTAGTACTCACTAGTACTATTAATACTCACTGGTACTATTCATCTTCAGTTCGTATGCTTGGCATTGTGGTCAGCTCTTGCTGTTGTAGCACTATGGTCATAGGCCATGTTTGTAGTGGCTTACATCAGCCATGTAGAGTAGTTGGGCTGAGCTAAGCCATGTACCCTTAGTACTAGGATTTGCTAAACCATGTATCAGGGTTGTTCTTTGTTCCAAAAAAGAATGCATTACACAGGAGTTGTCTTAATTATGTGTCCCTGAAAACATTGTAGTCAACTCTGGAGCTTTCTGTTTTTTCATTTGTGCCTCTCTTGTATACTTTATCCTAGTAACTGGTTTCTGTATCTCATACTTTATGTGCATCCATACTTCATGATAAGCTACTGTTATTCTCATGTCAGCTACATTGATAGCCTCTGAGTTTCTGAATGATATGCATGCATATTTTTTAATAAAACAGTAGTTGATTAAACTTTTTTTGGTCGATCGATCTAAGGATGCACACAGCCTAACAAACTTATTATATTAAGAAAACAAAACCAACATGACAAAATATCATGCCGCAACAACATATCTTCATCTCCATTCACCACCAATGACATCACTCCCGTTTCGAACAATCCAATCCATGCATTGGTAGATTATTGGCTGAGTTTGTCAAAATCCTTGAGGGCTTTCCTTCAAATAACCAAAAGAAGACAAAATCTTTTAGCATTAATCTTTTTCAGAAACCAAAGAAGCACATGAGATGTAAAGTTAAAAAAAAATTGAATGAAACAATAAGATGTAAAATAATGAAAAGATGTTCTGCGGCCTCCTGTTTACCCAAGAACCTACTACTAGAAAGTAGAAATTCTTGACGGTGCACTTATCGTCAGGGGAATAAAAAATATTGTCAGTAAAATTAAAATTCAATTTTCCTGGATTATTGATATGTATATTTGCTTCCTATTTCTATGATCCATTCTACTTACCTTGTTGTTTTTCAGAAAACGTTATGACATGCAAATGCCTATTGGAGTACCTGAACATGTGAACTGCATTCTTTTACAGACAAAGGGAACTTGCCAAATCGTTGCAAGGACACTGGAGGGCCGGGGAAACATTGACATATGGACCGGAGCACCAATCAGGTGAAGGCAGTGCTGAGGAGAAGAGTCCGTCTAAGCCGACAACCGGTTGTTTTAGCCCCTCCCAACAACCAGTTTTTTGCTCATGCACTTACACTGTCTTATACATATATTTACACCGCCTTATTACTATATTTACAATGATTTCTTCAGTGTAATTTCCTGGACAGAGTGATGTAATTTGGGAATAACACAAATATATGCCAAACTTTCAAAAAAAATACAAATTAATTCTATGGATTCCAAACATTAGAGAAATATATGTCAAATTGTTCACAAATTCTTTAGAGATTTTAAAAAAAAATACAAAATCCAGACAAATTCTTCAGAAAAATACACTGAGTGGGTCGTTGCCCTCTGGACCTATGGTGGCCTCCGCGGCCGAGGCGCCCGCGCCCAGCCTATTGGCGGTGACGGCAGGAGGGGAGAAGGCGAGCGCGGCGTAGGCCTGGATGCAGGCGCGCTCGAAGGTGTGGCCCGGCGGCGTGACGACGAGGTCTACCATCAACGTGCCAGAGATCGGGCGGAGAAACTCCGCCGGCGAGTCGGAAGTGAACGACGACGGCAGGGATGGGAACCGTGGGGCGGAGGGATCCGCCGCGGACGGCGGCGGCAGCGGCGCCCACCACGGTTGGCCGGTGCCCGTGGCCATCGGCGATTGCGAGAGAGCGCAGCGGTCGCTGTTGTTGCGTGTCTCAATCTGACGGACTAGGGGAGGCAGGGGAAGCAAATCTACGGATGAAAAACCGGTTGTTGGTGCTGGTTGAAACAACCGGCTATCCATTAGCGTTTCTGTAACATATTCTTCTTTTTGATTGATTGAAATAAACAACTGGCCAACTTTATTTTGAGAGAGAAAAAACTTGGTATTTGGACAAGCCAAGGGCCCGTATGCGGACGAAGCATTTGGACCAAGGCCCAAAGGCCCATCTCGAGCTCCCCAAGCCCCCAGAAGCACGCGCGGCGCCGCCGAGGCCACACGCCCACCAGTCAGCCGCCACCGCCATGCGGCTCCCAGCCGGTGCACGCCTTGTGCTCCTGCTCGCCCGCCGCTCCCTCTCCTCCTCCGCGTCCTCCTCCTCCCGTCTCCCGCGGGCGCACAGAGGTAAGCCCCCATCCCCACTAGGTCTCCGATTCTCCGGTTCCT